ATTCCAAAATATTTTGAAGGTTTCGGCTCAGCCTGATCGTAGCAGTTGGGACGTTCCTCGCGTCTGCACCTCCAAGGGGGAATGTCGCTCAAGCTATCAAGTCTTCTGAGTACATCCGACTGCGTTGGAACACAAACACTGACTTCTTCAACAGTGAATTCTCCTACGGAATCACAAAGGGCTAAATATGTAGTGCATACAGCTGGATACGGCGGAGCGTGTCCAACAAGTAGACAGGAGCCCGGCAGCGACCGCGCTTCCCACCAGTTGTGGCACTGCTCAGATCGCGACTCTAGGACCGCCGGGCTCCGCTTCACCCTTCTGGTACACCAAAAATGCTTTGAATCAGAGCGGAAATCGAGTGCATGAGACGTCTTCTGAGTGTTAAATGCAAGCGTAGAGGTCAGGAGCCTCATGTTTCCACGAGCAGCAACTAGCCACTGTACCACGCGCCGCATACATTCTCATTGTCTAGTGCAGGCAAATAGCCACCCTAAGGACGCTCCAAAAGAGCTCGTCGCTGCGCCTTCACTTACCTCCGTCTTTATAGACAAAAGTCGTGTAGTGGCAAGGGGCACGCTCACACATGTGAGCAGATCCTGGATCGACTCCCGCTCAGGTCAATCAAGCTTTCAACCCACAGGAACAGTGAATTGGTACCAGATCCGCCTGAGAGGATGGGCACATGACATCGTACGTGTACATCGTGCAGCCCCCGCAGTTACACTCCTTATCCCTGAGCCGAGTAGGCGTGGCATTTGAACATGGCACGGAATTGGTTACTCGTGGAATATTCCAGTCTGGGACAACTGTCATCTTGTTCTGTGCTGGACAGAGACACGACAACAATTGTGTCAAGATGAAAATATCTCACCAGAAGCATAGACACCTTCAGGTTAAGTTGAAACATGCGGCCACGCCTACCCGATCCAGGGATATCGAGTATAATTTGGTAGGCCACATCATACTCGATAAGCTGCTACGATCCTGAATGGAAGTGGAACCCGTGCCGAATCCCAACAAGGAGTGATCAACGATGATTTTCGTCTATAGTATTAGTGTATGCGCTTGTAATCTTTGCCCGCTGCCACTTGTCTTACCCCGGTACCCCTGCCGATTCCATGTGGTTTGCTAATGTGACGTCATCACTCCAAATATCAAACTGCCATTTTCGTAGTCCAAGGATTCCACATAGCACTGATCCTGTATGGACACCAATTCGCATATTAACGTCCACACCGGTGGCAAGACGTATTTGTCTGAAAATAAATAAATTGAAGATAAATAAATAAAGCAAATAAATCAAATGAAATGAGAAAATGTCAGAAAAAGAACTAACTTGATGGTCTTGATCATTTCTAGGCCCATCACCACACACATATCGGCGTGATTTGGTCGATTTACTGGCATTCCCGACACACAGTAATAACAGTCACCAAGGAATTTAATGCGCATACATTGGAGCTTCTGAAGAAGATTATCAAGCATTTCATGGATTGGGAAAAATATTTCGTTCATCCCATCGTGACAGAAAACACGGCGCGTACCCAAAAAGGGCTAAGGCAGCGTTCATACTTCGCGACACCAGCGGCGATAGCGGCGATCGCATTGCGAAGAATAACCGTTGCCTAAGTCCCAGAAACAAAACGCTGAATAACGAGGGCCCCCGTGAAGCTGTACTTGACAAAGCTGTCCCATGGTTATTTTAAAGGCGGTGGGCGCGATGTTGTTGCTGCGTCATTTGTGGAAGAGCTGCGACAGGACATTCGTTACACTCCGATCAGCTTTTCCATCAGCGAAATTGGCAATAACCGCCCGCCTCCAGCCATCGTGCCAACTGTCCCTAAAAGCCTGGGAACCTTTTTGCGACAAAAAGTCAAACTCAGAAATTGCTGAGCTTAGGGGGAGTGAGTAGAAAAAGGGTTTGTCTGTTCGGTAGAGAAATCTCTCAATGCAGGCGGCACTGTATGAATTCATGCTTCATTGCATTGCTGACGGTAGTGGTGGAGATCATAAACGGACGGGCGGAGACGATAAAGATGGTAGAGCCCTTGCGTTGCTATCAAGAAAATGTCGAGCTGAGAAGGTGGAACATTCCCTGTGATAGGCCGTGCCCCTTGGTCCTTCCGCATGTTGGTCGCAGACGGGTATGTGACAAGAGAATCGTAATTTACCGCGCTGGTGGGCGTCGCGTGCGACGTCGCCCAATAAATGATGACGGTTTCAGGTACTAGATGGCGACAACAGGCAACTCAGAACCGAAAATAGTCATGAATGTCTACGATGACGGGGTCTACATGAAGTCCGGTGCTCCAATCGACAGGTTAACACGAGTTAAGAAAACGCCGCGCCCATCGCCGCGCGCGGCGGAGCGGCAAATCACGATTCTCTTGCCGTCTCCGTCGCGGACGTTGTCCTTATTGACCCATTCACTGCAGAGAATAAAATAGGACATCAAATCATTGGGGTCCTCCACAGTTGGGAGAAAAAATAGGAAAAAAATCTCGAACAAGTTAGTTAACAATACGGATTTAATCCCCGCATTGTTAAGATTTCACTGACTTCCGAAACGTCCGTCAAATATCTCCCACCAGCCTTTTTCGTGTAGTTGAGCAGTTAAAAATTAAATGAGCATAACCGTAACCTACCTGTGCATCTTTGTCAAATTTACTGTACAGCTCGTTCAAGGTCCTGACGAGATCCTTTGCAGTCAGCTGCGCTGCCAATACGGTGAAGTTTACAATATCAGCGAATAAAATGCTAGAGTAATGACTATTTGTGCAGACAACACGAAGATGGTTTCAATTTGCCTTCAATTTTTTGAATTATCGCTATTATCACTAAACAACATACCTCACATTATCGTGCACTTGCACGTGCAGATCATGAAAAAGTTTGTGATGTTTTGAGTTTATACGATGTGCAGACGTACTACTGGATTGAATTATGCTTTTACTGACTTTATCCGTGAGATATGCAGGAATCACAGACAGTAATAGTTGGTCCTAAAGCAGATGTTCTTTGCCATCCTCTTTTTCACAGCCTCTTTTTCAAACTCATAAATATTGCTGAGAATCAAGACCACCCCCCCCCACCATTGTATTTTGCACCCTTTATCCCGTAGGCGTGACACTTGAACATATCATAGCATGGGTTACCTGTGGGCTCCATATTCCAATTTGAGATAGCTGTCTTCTTGTTCTTTGTTGTTCGAAGTTATGATTACAGCTGCCCCAAAATGAATCTCACGATAGCTTAGCCGCCGCCACGTTTGTTCAAGTACGCAGCCACGCCTACCTCATCTCAGGGATTTCGACTATACAGGGGGGGGGCAAAAAAAGTCACTTTTCTTCATTGACTTTCGAGGCGCTATAAGTTACACTTTATTGAATTCTCATCGGACATTTTCACCACCATATTAAAGAGCATATTAAATACTATCATGACACTCCGCCACAGACTCTTGAACTCCGCCCGAACCGGGTAATTGAGGGGATTCAGGTCAGGTGACCTACTTGGATATTCCATCTTCTTTAGGTACTCAGCCCCCTTCCATTCCAAGTAGGCGAGAGTTTCTCCAACGCCCTTCGATTCCATGTGGTGGCACCCAATGCTGTAGCAGTACAAAGTTTCCAAGAAGGTACGGGCGACGACATGTGAGGAGGATATTCTTCACGAGTTGCTCAATGTAACCGCCAGCGCTCACCTTAGTCCGGGGTCCACGAAGAAAATATTGGTCTTTCCATTCCAGGTACGTCCGGTCCATACCATCAACCCGACTGTGGTGAAGATGATGTCCTAGACCGTGGCGACGTTGTCGGAGCTGCTCGATGTTGGAGGTCTTCCAGATCGAGAGTACTGGTCTCCAGGTAGCTATCCATGGGTGACTCCATAGAAGTTTCGCAGCTGTTTGGAGGTGACGTGAATTCCAAAGGTCTTCTCCAGTCAGGCTGCGACTGGAGATGACTTCATATTTTGGTGTACATGAAGGTGATGGGCGAGAGCCAGCTCCTGCTTGTAGAGGAACATCTTGGGTATCTTCCGCCCTGGTACTCGTATCCACGTCCTCTGTCTGGGCAGCGAAAACTTTGCTGATATGTGACTCGGTCGAAGTGACTTTTTTTTGCCCTCCCCCCTGTATAGTAGCGCACTTTCGAGAATTGGGCGTGAAATGAGTGCAGAGCGGCTAAGCGTTCCAATCTTCAGAGCATAACTAGTAATTCGCACGTGTAGCCAAGAGGGCATAACGCGATCTACATTCGGTCTCTTTAAGTTGAGTAGCATTCGAGACAGACTATACGCTCACTACTGTGGAGCCTAGTTCTTGCCATGTGAGGTGTGTGGGGGCAGGCACGTCGTACGGAGTAAGCAAATTGTTTTTGGTTACTGACTTTTCTTAAATTCCTCTTTTTAAGTGCGCGATATACCACCCCCTCCCTTCCCTTTGATGGTAGCATTTGAGAGGAAACTGGGGAACTCTCGAGAAAAGTGGAAGAAAGAATGAGTGGATTTCAGGCGGTAGATTGGATAAGGAAGGGGTCATATTATATTAGAAGAGAATTTTGAGGGGGCGGGTCGTATTTCACAAAATTTTTCCCTAGTGGCAGGACGTTCCCTGGTGGGACAGCAGCTACAGCAGCACGCTACTTTCTCCACTAAAAAAAGCACCAAAACAGGGGTGGAGGGCGCATATACCAGGGTGCCGTCTCCAAATTTCAACCAAGGTAGTTCATTATGTAGTACCATTTCGCGGTCTCACAATAGTTTAAAGACACTCCCCGCGATCAAGTGGTCTTCAAAATGACTTCGCGCCTTTTGGAACCCTCTACGCCTTGATGAAGATGATACCTCTTTCATCCCTCAATAGCGCGCGATAAGAAAGTTATAGCGATTTCGACAAGGCTCGCTAGGCTCACGGAGACGGTAGGTGGACGAGGCGTCGGGTCCCGAGCTGCTTCCGTCCCTTTAACGCCCGCGCGGCGCGTGTTGCGCGCGGCCCTTCTGGCACTTTGCCATCTTCGGTGATCCTCGCTTTTATAGCGATTAAGCGCAATCCCCGCACCGTTGGACATGAATTGAAGACGCATAGGCTGTTTTAGGGTTCCAGATGGTTTGCAAGCGCAATTCCATTAGGAGGTTGTGAACAAAAGAGCAGCAAACCTTTTTTGAATTTCATACTCTGCAAGCGATGGGAAGGACGTGATTGGAAGAGCATTTAATTCGTTTTCCGTACTCATGCAAGAGGAGGATAAGAAATTAAGAGCAGTTAGTGTGTTTTTCGAGCTTACCTGTGACTTTCACTAGCGCCACGGTCGCACGGCTCAAGCTTTGTGCTCCAATCGCTATGGAGCGCGCGCCCTTCGCGCCCGACGCACTCGTCCAGGGCTGCTGGGGTGACGTCTGTGTTCAAGGTGTTCCCAAGGGTTTTTTCCGCTTCTTTTTCTTCTGAGAAGCTACCTATGGGATACTGGTTCATGACAGAGCCCAACTACCCGCAACACTTGATCGCGGGAATTGTCTTTAAAGGTCTACTTAGGTGAGACTGTTAGTTAACATGAATAGCAGAGGAACTAGGGAAAAAGCAAAATGCCCCTCTCAAGCCTAACAGCGGAAACAGTTTATCAGACACATCTTCCTCTGATAGTTCCCCAACAATCGCTACCGTACCTGCCGGTCCTTCAAAGTTTCAAGTTCTGTTCTTCTGTAGACAGCTTCAGTGAGTTTCATGGCAATGTCGGCTCGGTTCCCTGCCTCATTCGAATCTGACACAATCCCTACGCAACTGATCATCAGCTGTTGCAGAAGAAACGAAATTAACTGCAATAGAAAACCAATTGCCAGTAGTCAACATTCACATATTGGCATAATTTTACTGTGGAGAATCACTGATAAGATTCTTTTGAAAAATTCAACTCACTGAACAAACGAAAGTGTGATCTGCACTAATTGCATCCATATTGATTATCAGCAGAATACACATGTTTATCACCACCCATAATAAAGAAAGTATTAGAAATATTCGACGATGGCGTGGTAACACGAAAAATTGCACAACTGAAAAAAATAGTTTTGAGTTCGGGGAGCAGCTCTTTCTGGGGAAACGCACTCCTGTTCCTTTTCTTAGCTGTAACTGACTTTCTGGTAGTGACACTGTGATCTTTCAAAAGTGAATGTTATGCGATACTGCTGCGCGGGTATGTGACAAGGCAATCGTAATATGCCGCGCTGGTGGGCGTGGCGAGCGACATCGCGCCTCGTGGACAAGTTGTCCTGCCCAGCTTACACAATTCAGGTGCAGAAGGAACGGAAAAATTTGGTATCACTCGTCGTGGAGTTTAGCCTATGCTTGGATTCATACGAGTTTCGCTGCTCCAATTGACACTTCACACATCAAGACTTGAAGGCGCGTCGCCCCGCGATACGCTGTGCGGCGAATTACGATTGTCCTGCCCGCC